AGCCTCCCAAGTAGCTGGGACCACAGGCGCCTGCCACAATGCCTGGCTATTTTTTTGGTTGAAGCCGTCATTGTTGTTTGGCAGGGCCCGGGCTGGAATCGAACCCACCATAGGTGTATGTGGCTGGTGCCTTAGCCACTTGAGCCACAGGTGCCAAGCCGATTTTCTATTTTTAATAGAGATGGTGTCTTGCTTAGTTCAGGCTGGTCCGGAACTCCTGAGCTCAAGCAATCCTCTCACCTCAGACTCCCAGAGTGCTGAGATTACGCCAGTTATCTAATTGTAAGCCCCCATACTTAATTCAAGCACCACTCTGTGAGTCCGAACATCTTGCAAAGGCACGAGGAATTTTATTCATTTAAGCTCAGAGCCTGGGCTGCCCTTTAAGAAAAAGCAGGAACAACCCTTCCAGACCATTGAGAAACTGGTCTTTATACTCCTCCCTATTCCCTTCTATTAGTCCATCCCACCCCATCCCCTTATTGGTAGGTAAACCATGTCTGTCCTAAACTGACAGGTACAGGGTGGTCATGTTCAGGGTTGATTGGCTCAGGGATGAGTTTTCTTTGTCTCAGGTGAGCGAATGAGAAGGAAGGGATAAAGGTCACAAGTGGGGCGAGTGCAGTGTAGAGTGGCGAGTGCAAAAGGGGAAGAGGTCAGGATGTGGGCTGAGTGCACAAGGGGGCTAGTGGGACAAAGGGGAGGGGTCAGGATGTGGGCTGAGTGCACAAGGGGGCTTGCCTAACACCCGGTACGATAAGGTCTTTGGTATGTGGCAGCCTGTTGTTCTGAGTAAACAACAAAAGGAGGTAGTTTGACTTGAGTTAATTAGTTTGGCTCCCACATAATCATATTTCTGTACCACTGTCCATATTTTATTGAACCTAAATATAAAAACAGAGTTTTCCCTAAATCTTTGGTTCTTCATTCTGAAGGCCTCTGTGTCATGTAAAATTATAATCAAATAAATTTTTAATTTTCTTTATTTTTGATAATGTTGGTATCAACCTTTTCTCCTATTAATCCACCTTTTGTCATTGGCTTTCAGCCAAACGTTAGAGGGTTAAGGAGAAGTTTTGCCTTCGTCCTATGTCTCTCACCAATGCTCATTCACAAAGTGTGATGTTTGTCAATTGTTCAGACACAATCTAGAAATGGGTAAGAGTATCTCACTGCCAAATGTGTCTAGAGTTATTGGATCAGGAAAAAGAAGGGTAATAAAATTATGAGGGGAGGAAAATGGATTTAGCGAGAGCAAGCCTTAGAAGGGGAAGAATAGGGTACTTTGTGCTCTGTATAAAAGAAACCATGTAATTTGTAGAACATGGTGTGTCTGGCCACAGTGAGAAGACAGCCAGGTCTTTAACATTCCCATTGTGAAATCTATCAGTCATTCCAAAAGGTTATAACCCAGGTAGAGAAGTCAAACTGGTATGTCTGTTTCTTAGTGTGCTTTATTTTGAAAAGTAAATTCGGAAAGCTTGAGTAGAATAGAGTTCAGTAGGGGGTGGAGGTGGGTGAATTAGAGATGTTTAATTAGATGGCGACTTCCAACCAGAGAAATGAGAGGTGGTGTTGAAGAGGGACAGCAGAACATTAAAAAGGCAGACCCCCACACTCCAGGGATCAAAAATAAACATGTTCCTGCATAAGTCAATCTATCCCTACACTAAGAAATGAAACTTAGGCATCTTAAATGTTTGTAGATTTATTTTATTATATGTGCATATTCAAACACAGAATTCTTAATATCTTCCATAAATATCTTTCATAAATGTTTCAGTATTTATTCATATGCATTTTTCCATGTTCTTTGGTCATTCATTATTCATAATAGACATCATAGTCATTTGAGGGAAGTTGGCTGTGTAGTCAATCTTTTTTTTACCTATAAAATGGCTAATAAAGGATTTTCATCCTGTGGTCACAGTGACTATTAAAAAATATTATGGAGGTACATTGATCTATAATCCTAAATGATCCTAAAGTAGTAAGTAAATTTGTCTTAAGCTTTCCAAATACATTCTGCTCTCAACTTGTTTTTATTATCCTGAGTATCAAATCAAAGTTCGTTTTTGAAATGCTGCAGTTGAGACCCACTACAGGAAATGAGGAAGTGGGACATTTTACTCACTGCCAAGACAAGGCCATGGAATCAGAAGTGTGAGGTCACAGGGCAACAGCATGACTAGGTGTGTTAGCAGCAAATTCCAGAGACTAGGCTCTGTTAAAGTATCCAGTTTAATTTGAGGAAAGATATTTAATTCATGTTTTGGACTATAATTCTATCCATTTATGATCCTTTTTTTCCTATAGGTCCCTACGCACACCCTATTCTCACCTCAGATACTCTTGGAGCTGGGCAGCAGAGTGCAGAAAGGTCTTCATTGACTAAAGGACCAGATGCTAAAGAAGAGAGGAGCTGTCACCTTGCTTAAGGTACTCCTGGCAGACCAGCTACTCCAGCTACCTGTGCAACAGGCCTTAACCAAACCACCAAAACCACAGATTTTTCTCCCAGCATCACCAGGCTCATTTATGCTGTTTGACACTGTAGTTTGTAGTGCCTCGTCCCAATGCACTCAGTAAATCAGTTTCCTTCTCAGAAGAATCAAATAATTTATCTAATAGAATTATAGAAAGCAGCAAATACTAAAAAAAGAAAGGAAAATGTTTTACTATAGAAAATGCTATATCCAGGATTCAAACTGATTTGATTAATGTAAATCTATATGCACTATTATGAATAACACATAGTTTATACCAAGGTCTCTTAACAGTGAAGTTAATCTCAGAAGAAGCAACTTCTCTGTTTAGTTCAATTTTTCATACATGGGAAGTGGATGCCTGTCTTATTTTTCTTCTTAATATCATTAAGCATCATAGTTTAAGAAATGATCTATGGAGACTATATATATTCAGGGCAACTTGAATTTATGCTCCTAAGTTGCAATCCTCAAATTTAGCCCAAATATCCTCTCTACTTATATATATATATTTAAAACTCCTGTTATTATCAATACTGTATTTATCACATGTAATAGCTTTTAGTCATATACTAAATATTTTCAACATTACAAAAAAATTGACATTTATTTTAAACTGTTTTCTAATCTTCCCCAACTGTTTTTTTTTTTTTAATGGTTATTTCTTCAAACTCTAGGTAATAGTATTCCTGAGAATACATCTTGTGACAGTCTTATGCACATACATATAGGAACATTAGCCATTACACATCAACATTCAATACATTACATTCAACACAGTTAAGGGCACCTTAAATGGAACAGATGCACACATCTGCAGAATCTCAGGAGTCCCGAATATGAAAACATTCCCACTCTATAAGGCCCTGTTTCTCAGAGTGGAGACTTTTTTGCAAAGTACATTACTTAACTTACTGAAAATTTCTAACAGACTTCCATACACTAGAGTGAAGGAGTCAGGCTAAAAGGCAGACAGACCAGCATAATCATGTTCAATACAGCCCAGTACTTTAAAAATGTATATAAACATATTTAGGATTCTTGTTGGATGTTTAACAATCTTCTTTGACCCCTTTGCTTTTTAAAATATTTGACACAATTATACATAGATAATTTGAACAAAGAAACTAGAACAGGGTATACACATACTACAGAGACTCACATAGCCCAGACATGTGTAATTACCAAACATAAGGCCTCTAATGCTAACTGAGCAGCATAATTTTTAACAGGTGATATATAATATCTTAGAATCATAAAACCACATAACATCTATATTTCTGCACTTGAGAATTAAGTCAGCATTAAGTGTAAATGATGTAAAAATATTGTAAAACATAAAAGAGGCCATTTACCTCCTTGATTCTCTGAATTCTTAGATTTCAAATTTTTATTCTTTTAACTTTAACTCACAGATAACTTTTATTCTCTTAGTGAATGGGATGAAAACTCTAAATTATATTTGAAATTATAAATCACAGTATAAAAATGCCTATTTAATAAGCAATTCTAACAAAAAAATAATTTGCCTTTATGATTAGGATGGGTTTAGTAGGTCTCCTCTTTATATATATGTATATATATATAAATATTTATATATATATTTCACAGCCAACATAGTCAAAGTTTAAGCATATGAAATGTTTTAAATTCACTTCAACATGATCAAAGTCTATACTGAACTTCGAATTGAGAACTAAAAGACATCCACACACACACACGTGCACACACACCACCATACGAATTAGTTTCCGTATATGAGTTTTTATATGCTTAGTAGTTAGGTAACAGTTTTCTAATGTAAACTGTTAAAATTTTGAAATTCAGTTTTGAACTATATGATGCCCAACCCTACTATTGGATCAATAACACACTAGGTATTGGCCTCACCAGCCTTCTAAGTTTTATACTTTTCTTGAAGTAACTAAACTTCAAATTAAAGGTTTGTTTGTAGAATATACAAGTTGGCTGTGACTATGAAGAGCTGTTTACTCATACTTTTTTCCTCATAAGCTGAGATGTTCTAAGGATCTTATGAATATTGTTACTATTTATAAAACAGATTCTAACAACACTAACTTGACTATCTGAAAATACGCCCTCAAGGGCAGGCACGGAATACTATAAGGAAAAGTAATCACATTTCTGAGTATCTCCTAATCTTGGCATTTATGTAGTCAGCTAGAAGAAGGAGTATTGTCTTTTTTAAGTTATTATATTTACATTTTGTTTCTGTAGTTATATAGGACATTTAAGTTTTTCTTAATTCAGAATTATTTTGAATAATGTCTAGAAATATTCTGAAATGGAATGATCTTATGCCATTAGCATTTTGACTTACAACATGCAATGAAAATTACAGTTACAAAATAAATAATGAAAAGTCCATAGCTCCAAATATAGTATTTTTTTCTTCTTCTAAATGGCTGTATTATTGATCAAAACAAAAATGGTTGCAGGATTATTTGTTATTTAGTCTCTCCAAACTAGTATTTTTCTTATTATTTTATGTAAATTTCTATTAGTACAGTCACCTGATTTAATATTTTTAAAATATAAAAATAAACATTTGCATGAGATGTAGAATGTGAATAATCTCAAAACACTGCATTTGTTAGAACATACTATTTGTTAATATTTCTATGAAAGCAGTGAGATAGTAGCATGTATTTTTAACTGCTGAAGGCTTCTTGAATCATAAATGCGCAGTGAAATGGCTCTTTCCCCTTATTCCTCCCTGATTCTTATGGTTTTCACACAACTAAATCCTTTTAGCCATTGATTTTTTAAATGTTTATGAAACATTATGCATATTGGCAGCGAAATATACTTAGATTTCTGCCACCCATTCAATGTAAAGTGCTCTCTCGTAATTAATCTTTTTTTTTAAGCAAATTGTTCAGCTTGTAAAAAAGGGATCCCTTCCATGTTTCTTCTATCCCTGCAGTGCTTACAAGATTCAGAATTAAACATGGGACTCATCTAGGACCACATCCGTCTCCCCCAGCTCAGTGGGAGTAAACGTGAACTGGCTGGACAGCAGAGGGTTCTCCATGCCATTTTCCTCACTGATGTGAAGGACGGTGTCTCCGTGCTGCAGGAGGCTGGATGTCTCGAGGCCCGTGAAGTCGTCAGGGTCTGAGAGTTGAGTAGTGAGTGGACTGTGTGCTGTCGCACCCTGTGCTGCTTCTGTGTCTTCCTTCCTTTCTCCTTCAGCGGAGGTGGTGGCCTCAGTCTACGACCCAAAGGATTATAACATCATTGAAAGGTAGGATGGGTACCAAAGAAGAATGTCAAATGATGTTGTTGGCTAGCTACAGCTGGACAAGGAATCAGAGGCCAGTCCCAGTTCTAGCCTTTGATCTAGGTAACATCTTATACCGACCCTCTCTAAGTCTCAGTTTTCTGACGTGCACATGAGCATAGTTTTTTGTTCTGCTTACCTTGTAGACTGTGAGGATCAAAAGAGAGAATGGTGATAACTGTTCAAATGCTCTGTAAGCATCAAAGAGTATATGAACATATACAGTAATATTGGCCTTTAACTTTCTCTAAATACTACATGGAAAGCATGTGGAGCCCATGAGAATTAATTTATAAAAATCAAAAGAAGGAATAAAATCAAAGCAACAAGAAAAATATCAAAACAATGAAGAAAAAAATCAAAACAAAAAGTTTCTCTCATATAACACAGAAGGCTCCATATTTAAAGGCTTTGTTTAAATTGGTAATTTTTTTTTTTTTTTT